CTGTGTGTGTGTGTGTGTGTGTGTGTGTGTGTGTGTGTGTGTGTGTGTGTGTGTGTGTGTGTGTGTGTGTGTGTGTGTGTGTGGCTTGTTTATAACAACTGTCAAATTTAATTTTAGTATATTTTACTTCATTGTTATGTTGTTTTTTTACAACATGAAAATACAGTCAAAATTGTATCGTTTTGTCACAATACTGACATTTTTGATATTATAGATTTTTGGTACCATTTCAATACTTTGGAAACATTGACAAAGCATTTGGCAAATGCATCCAACAGTCACAAGGGGGACTAGTAATCTGATTACCCTCACTGTTCTACTGAAGTTCATTCTCCATCACCCCCCCGGGACAGCACAGGTAGAACCAGTCAAGTGGATCAGAAACAGTTTAACACTAAGAGGTCATTAGGAGTGACACAAGCTCTTATGCAGCACTTTCAGATGACTGTAATTTAAACGTTGGAGTTCAAAAAGTTTCCACACAAAAAATCCATCAGACAAAACGCTTTTTAAATTGTTTAGATATTTAGCATTTTCATCTTTTCAATACCATTAAAATACTCTTGAGACTAGAGTTCTTATGGCTTTTTAAATTTGACTTATAAGCCTTCTGTATAAGTCTGCGAGAGTGAAACTGCCTCCTAGATTGACTGCAGTGTGTGACTCAATATCAGAAACTCGCTGGTATGTTGTGTTTCTCCTCGGAGCAACTAGGAATAGCAGTGAGATCAGAGTAGGTGATTCCCTTTTCAAGAAAGGAAAACCTCCTTACAAAACCCATTAAGAAGAATTGTAAGTATTATTTTATGAGTCATGTCTGCCCTTTGTAGCAATCATCTGGTCTGCCATTAGTTTTACCATCCAACCCTGAGCAAACATCAAGATCGTATGGCCGTTTATGGCGCTACCTAGCTTAAATGTATTTTAGATTTTTCTATGGGATGCCAGTAAACTATAAATGTACGCTTAGTTTTAAAATAAACTTATAGCAATCAAGCATGCACAACAAAACTGCAAAATGGAGAGGCATGCATTTACTCCTTTTTCAGGACCTGTATTGTCTCCGAGCACAGAGAGAGACATGGAAGCTAGTTTTGTTTTATGGGTGTAGGTCGGGTAGAGAGCCAATAAAGGCGTAACAATGGCTCCCTTCATGATAACAGAGTCTCCTCTGATTTCTCGCCCACTGCCTGCGAATAATATTATCAGCCCACCCCTTTGCAAAAACTGACAGCGCCACTTGACAGTCGTGTGTGTGTTTTTTATGTGTGTTTCAGTTGAAGGGGGGTGTGGACAGGAGGGTGTGTGTAGGGTTGACATGATTAATTCAGGGCGGTGGTCACACAGTGGCATTTTTATTTCTAGGTTTTTTGTAGCGTGGGGTTATGTACAGTAGGGTCCGTCTCATTCTGACCCCAGTTGTATTCTGTCTATGCGCTCGCTCGCTCACTCTCTCTCTCTCGCCCTCCCTCTCCTTCTGTGAGCTAGTTATTCATCCAGTGCGAGTCAGGGAGGGTGGGGATTCGGAAGACTGCTGTACCAGTCACACTTTGTCAGTTTCTCATTCCCTAACCCCCGTCTCTCTCTCTCTCTCCCCCCCTCTCTCTCTCTCTCCCCCTCTCTCTCTGTATCTGTCCCTGCTCTGCTGTTTTCTCTCTTTGCTGCTGCCGCCCTGCTGCCTGCCGGCTCGCCCTCACAGTTCAGGGAGAGGCTTTGCCGTCCTGTGGAAGAGCAATCCATATTGGATTTTGATGATTGAAGGGGGAAACCTAGTCTCAACAAGGTAAGTTACAATACGTTTCATAGAAGGTGAACTAACTTGTGTGCCGACATGCTCCAGGGTTGTTGTTTACTTAATCGGGCAAGATTTCTGTTCTGTGTTTGAGGATCTGTTCTGGTTAATATGTCCTTTTTTATTGCGGACACTTTACAGTGTTTGACTAATGGGCTCCTGTCTCCTGAATTCCTTTTGGTTCATCATTAACTCAAACCTTGTGAACTCTCTTTTTCCATCCCTATGATTCATTGACATGGTTCTCATAGGAAATGTTTCCCCCTCCCTCTCCGCTTGTTGTATCTGTTTTGGAGATGCTAACCGGCCACTTTGGAGCCAAGGCTGCCTAATATCGAACTGGTGGTTTTTGCAGCGGGAGATATTAACACTGGGTTTTTACTTTTCAAACCACTTTTGTTTTAGTTTGGTCACAAGACAGCACTGGCTTAGCTGTGGGCTGTAACTTCTGAACATTCCTCGTGAAAGAGGACAGAAGTCATTGCCTAAAGGCCATCGCCTGAAGGTACGACGGTGTCCAAGTGGTCATGTGTCTGCAGCCAAATGGCTTCCGTCTGTCATGGGAATAAAACAGCAGACACTTTGTGGACCCGTCTTACAGTTGTGAGGAAGTTGCTGTCCTCTTGGGGAAAGACTTGTAGTATTGCTAAAACAAATAAACAACATTCAAACAACACAGTTCAGTTGCTCAGTTTATACTGCTGGTTGTTCTTGTAAAGTTGTGTGATTTCACAGTGCTGGAATAAAAGGGCTTCATTTCCATTTTTTACAAACTTCAATCTTCTTCTTGGATTTGGAATACAAAGAAATGAGTGTATTTTCTTCCCTGTGTTCATGATCATAAGACCAATCACCTGACTTAAATCAGTTCATGATTAGTCAGTATGTTCATACAGTAGTTTGAACATGAAAACAGAGATTTAGATAACCAGCATTCAAAAAGCAAATCCTAAATATCTTAATCTTAATCCTGTGCACTGCGACAGTGTCCACGCCATCAGAGGCTTTTGGTGCCAACAAAACAAATCTACACTTAACTATTCAAATTCAATACATTACCAACACCATTTAAAGAGAGTATTGGCTTTAAGAACTTAAATTCCTATAGCAAAAATACAGATAATGAACTCAAATGAATGCCATGTGATGCGGTGAATCTGCCAGTGCACCATTTAAAGTCACTTTGTTGCAATGATCCTAACATCGCCACTCACCTGACCAGAGAGTCGTCTGCTTAATTTAAATGTTCAGCATTTTTCCTCAGAACAAGAGAGAGTCTACAAAGACATGAGGGTACGTTTGTTGAAAAGTGATGCGCCTGCCCAAACGCCTCATCGTTGGTACAAAATCAACCACAGCGTTATATGTAAGAGTTTTCTGAAATGTCATATATCTGTATAACAAACCGTCATTTGCACGGTGGGTGATAACGCTGGGGACTGCAAGGCGACAAAACTCCAGTTAAAGTTTGGGCGTTAGGAAGTTAAGTCACCGGTAAAAACTAATGCTTGAGAAGATCGACCAGAAAGATGCTGTAATGTTGACATTGACTCGTGGTTAAGCCCCTGTCACACTGTCCCGATATTGACACCCGATGGACACACGATTTAAGGAAATGTTCAAATTCGGCTCTGATCGTAACAACATCGGGCCATTCGTGAGGGCATCTTAAGCCATCGTATGACCGCCGGTGGAGTTTCTCAGGCTCCGGCAGCAACTTCGGGAACGGTGGCAACATCTTTGGCATCACAAAGCATTGCCGAAGGACCTTGTGAAGGTTCATTTTCGTGTTGACTTCGTGTGTCCATTTTGCCCTTCGTAAGGCATTCGTGAGGGCATCTTAAGCCATCGTATGACCGCCGGTGGAATTTATCAGGCTCCGGCAGCAACTTCGGGAGCGGTGGCAAAATCTTTGGCATGCCAAAGATGGCTTAAGATGCCCTCACGAATGGCCCGAAGTTGCTACGATCAGAGCCGAATTTGAACATTTCCTTTATCGTGTGTCCATCTGGTTGTTTTATTGCACAACAAAATCATGTAAACATATTATGTAAATAACCCAATTTGTGTTCTGTGAAACTAAAAAGGATATAATATATTATTTTTAAGGCGAGAAAGTTGTTGTTGCTATGGAAACAACATGACGGAGAAAACTTAATATCTTCTAAAGACGGAGAAAGTAAAGAACAAAGTCTGAAAATATCAGTACAGTATCATAATACTTTAACATAATTGTTTGTGTTACTTTCGTTGCAGTTGTATCTATGTCTTAAATGTAATGTAAATGTTGCCTTCGTGTGTGGTTCGGGGCCATCTTCGTGCGAAATTCACAATTCCATATTCGTGTGTCCATCGGGTGTCAATTTCGGGACAGTGTGACAGGGGCTTTAACAATTGAACCAACTGCAGGGGGGATTCTACAAAAGAAAGTCCAGTTTGTGATATATAATCGGTTTACACTGTAGATGTGTGCTGTTCAGCGTTTTACCTTTGCCACATTTCACAACATTTAAAAAGATAACAAAACAATTGCGAAATAGCATTTCTCAACATACAACAAGCTCACTAGACTACACCTCAATTGTTTTATTATGATGTATCTTCTGTTGCTGTTTACCTGAGCTGCACCTTTGTGAGCCCTGCTCCCTTCCCTTCCACAGTTCTAACTATTAGCTGCTAATGATATTGGTTTAAGGCGGACTGTTCTTTAAGCCCAAGGCAGTGAAAACTCAGAGCTTTGTAGATTGTATAATAATAGGTTGGTGACGGAGGAGACCACACCCTGCTTGTTCTTAACCTTGTGAATATGCTTCACACTTCACACTTGATATGGTGAAATCAACAGAAAAATATGCAGGTCTAAAAAAAAAAAAAAACAGCATCAATGTGAGCACATACTTGAAGTTGAACAGTGTGCTGTGGCAGTTCTCTCATACATGTGATTGCTACATAACGAGAAGAAACACGTTTTGGTTTTAGGGAACTTGGATGTCGATGTCGCGATTCTGGAGTGTTCAGGAAATGTCCTTTGTTTGCTCCCAGCTGGGTTCATCTGAGGAGAGCAGGGTGTTTGTGATTTCTCACTTTTCGGCGTGACTCTTGCACACAGATAGCAAGTTAGGTGCCGCCTTCCTGTGGGATAAGGGATGCCCTCCTTGTTCCTTTTAGCACCTCCTCTCTGATATGAGGCCATGTTGGAGCAAAGCATCCTGGGATTTGCGTAACGAGTGTTTGTTTGCCAATACATGAGGTTCTCTGTTATTGAATTTTCCGGGAATTGGGTCAAAATACTTCTTGTTGCCATTCATTGGTCTCAGGTTTTTGACAGGAAAACCTCAAAAGGACAGGGGATGATTCTCGACTGGCCGATCCATTAAAAGCCAAACCACCCGATAGTCATAGGGATTTTTTTATTTTAAATATCATTAGTTACTGTATGGGCCTCTGTTGTGGCATCCCCTCGCAGCGCTTCCTGTCAGACTGGGCACATCTACTACTTTTTGAGGGGAGATGCGAGCAACCCCTACCAATTTGGGCTGTTCCTAGTTTTTGTTGAAATCTGATAGGCTCATTGTGACTGCATTGTAGTTTTTGATTATATATTAAAAAAACATTGCGTTTCTGAGTCAGCATGTATGGTTGAGCGTGTGAAGCTCTTCATTTACTGACTATACATGTTTTGGTGCAGTTGTTGGCAGTATGCTGTGAGTTTTTCCAGCTCATCTGCTGCTGGCTCGCTCGGCAGGTCTTGATTTATTTCTGCTGGGAAGTGCTCTTACAAACTGAGAAGGCAGGTATCAGCACGAAATCCTAAACTGTCGTCACAGTCATCGTCACATTGTCTTTATAACAGCAAAAACTGTGTTGGTGGTAAAATGATTACCGACATGTTTTTTCTTATTGGCAAGGCCTGTCGATCTCAAAGAGCCAGACAATTAAGACTTGATTTTTATTTTTGTTTACCATTTCTGTAATTCATTATTGAAGGGGAATGCCTACTGTATACCTGGACATTTCACTATCCAGGAAATGTCACCACCACTTTTATAAAGCATAAGATTCCAACAAGGAAAGGACATGATAACGGTTCATTGACCTCGATGTAAAACATGATGAGGTTGATTACCAATCTGAAGAAACATTTATAAGGGAGATAATCTGAAGGCAGTGTCACAAAGGTTTACAAGTGTTTCATGTGTTTTTTTAGGCACATTGACAAACTAAATACTTACAATTCAAGTAAGGATTCCAGTCCAAAACACAATCTCACCTAACAAAGTTGTTATACATATATACAGCACATGAGAGCATGTTGTTGACTAGCCTAATATCTCCACGTCTATGCCCTGATTTTTGAAAAACTTGAAGAAAAGCCAATTTCTTTTATGAAATTTCAATATTGGAATGACTTCCATGGGAGAGGAGGAAGCATTGCCGCTGTGTGTGGTGCAGTGGGTTGTGAGTTGGTGTTCCGATCAGGGGGTCACAGGTTCGAACCCCACTGCAGTCAGCATGTCGTTGTGTCCCTGGGCAAGAAACCCAAATTGCTCCTGTGCGGATTGTCTACATTATTGAGTATGTAAGTTGCTTTGGATAAGAGCGTCTAACAAGTAACATGTAATGTAATGTGTTTGATTTGTTTAACGATATACAATTTAACAATAAGCTTGTTGGTGTGTGTTTTTGCAGATAATTGGGTAACAGCAACACCACAAGACGGCAAAGATGCTTCGACAGCTTCAGGAGTTGGGCTCTCATGCCGTGGACATCTACGACTTCCTCTTGGCTGGAGCTGGTAAGTGATTCACCCGACTAAATCCAAAAGATCCCTTTTTATGTCTCAGGGTCCCCGCGGATCCTTAAAAAGTCTTAAAAGTCTTACATTTATTTTTTGATATTCAAGGTCTAAACATTTCTAAAAAGGTCTGGAATTTTAGGAGGGGAGGTATTACATTGTATCTGGGGCAGTCATGTTGGGTAATGTGCACTGAATATTTCTCGTTATTCAAATGCAATAAAACTCAGTAACTGCTGTCTACAGTAGTTCATCGATTTGTTTGTATTGGTATTATTTTTTCCTTTTTAGAGGGCTTAAAAAGGTCTTAAAAGTCATAAAATGTGTACTTAAAATTTTTGCAGATGCCCTGATGTCTGTTATCTGACATTTCGTCTATCTTTCTTCCTCTAGATCCACGAATTCAGAAATATCCGCTGATGCAGAATCCCATTGCAATGTCTGCTATCCTGCTGTGTTACCTCTTCTTTGTGATGTACCTCGGACCTCGTATGATGGCCAATCGAAAGCCCTTCCAACTAAAGGAAGCCATGATAGTGTACAACTTCTCGCTAGTGGCACTGTCGACATTAATCGTCTACGAAGTAAGACACAAGACTTGAAGTCTCCTACATTTGAAGACATGTTGCAATTACACACAGCACAGTGGTCTGATAGGAAATTGCTTAATATTGGTTGAATTGATATCAAAATCGAGATGTAAATTGTTATAGCAAAGTGGTACACGTTCAATGTATAAAAATAAGTAGCAGCCTTTTAAAAGTTATTGAATATATACAAATAGTGAACAAATGCCAGTACTAACAATATTATACGTAAACATTGTATACCGTAATTTTCGGACTATAAGCCGCGCCTTTTTTTCCCATTTTTCGACCCTGCGGCTTATATAACGGCGCGGCTAATCTATGGATTTTTACAGCTAACGGCCACTAGGGGACCTCCTAAATCTGGATTTTACAGGTTACAGTCCACCACCTTTAACTCTATGGACTCTATGGCCCGTCCGCGCCCCCCACCTTTAACTCTATGGGCTCTATGGCCGTTCCGCGCCCCCCACCTTTAAGCGGCGGGCTCCAGCAGGAAAAGCTGGAGGCCGGAAAAGAGTGAGACAGGTAGCGCGTAAAAGTGGAACCGAGAGTGGTACGAGAGACAGAACGAGAGCAAGACAGACAGACATTACGAGAGCGAGACACTTTGTCCCCGTACCACTGGTTGAAAACCACTGCTGTAGATCACTGCCGGTACGTGCGCTGGGAGCGCACCGTTTAACTTTGAAAGTTGAAAAGTTTGTGTGTCTGAAATGCTATGTGATACAGTACAGTTTACACAGTACATGTTCTGTAGCTACTATTGCACTAAATGCTAACACTTGAATACGTTATGCAAATATGCAACTTGTTTGTTGAAATGTTAATAAATGGGAGCTTCCTCAAACAGCCATCTCTTTCCCGACAATCCCCTCTGTGCACGAACCCTTACATATGGTAATTAAACATTAAAACACCTGCGGCTTATAGTCCAGTGCGGCTTATATATGTACACATCATTCAATTTAGCTGCTGCGGCTTATATTCAGGTGCGCCTTATAGTCCGAAAATTAGGGTATATTGCCAATAAGTCACACAACAGTGTTCTGCCAGGGACTGTGCTGGTTGTTCATATCTGTAAGGATCTTTTTTGTTGTTGTTCTTAGCTAGGACTGCAAATTAAATTAATAAATTGTCTTGTTTTTTAGTTCCTTATGTCTGGTTGGACCTCCACGTATACCTGGCAATGCGACCCAGTCGATACGTCTGACAGTCCTGAAGCACTTCGAGTAAGTCCCTTCTGGATACTCAGTTGATACTTCATTAATACATTTGATGTGAAATGATTATATTTTAACCAAGTGTTTATTGTCCTCTCCAGATGGTCCGAGTGGCCTGGCTGTTCTGGTTCTCTAAGATTATTGAGCTCATAGACACAGTGAGTTCATTCTTTTTACTCGACTGCCTTATTGTGAAGTTTCGGTCACCATTGATTGGCTTTACTGATCAATACCATGTTTCGTTCAGCTTTTCTTCGTGTTGAGGAAAAAAGACGGCCAAGTGACCTTCCTGCACATCTTCCACCACTCCTTCATGCCCTGGACCTGGTGGTGGGGGATCATCTACGCTCCTGGTGGGTACACAAAGAGTTTGGAAATGATTAATGCAGTTGGAATAACAGGTGGGGGTGATGGCACCATTACTTCATCCTGACAATCAGCAGCACTGTCCTCCCTTCGGTATCTGCTCTTATCTCGTTAAAGACACACCGAGAAGGCTGTGTGAATGGTTCTTTGTAAACAAAAGTTGACTTCCTTATGACACATTTTATTATCACTTGTATATATTTTGAGTCATACTTTATTTTGACATATTTATGACTTTCTTGTGACATACTATGCTTTAAAGTTTTCATGATTTGACTTTATTTTTACTTTTTAGGTCTTCTCTTATGACCACATTTTCTCTCTCTCTCTCTCTCTCTCTCTCTCTCTCTCTCTCTCTCTCTCTCTCTCTCTCTCTCTCTCTCTATATATGAAAAAAAGCCAATTTATATATAGTCCTACTTCTAGTTTCTTGTTACTTTTATGCATTTTATTTAGTGGAGAGGGTCCATGCGAACAACACATACATTTTATTATGAGTCTATGCAATTTTTCCCCTACTCATTGTGCCTTGTTTAAGATACCATGATGTATTATTCTAAGATATTTTTGTTACCCTTTATGACATACATTACAGATGGACAGGGCCTCTGCAGATACAAACACTCCACAGATTTGTAGTGTTTCGAAAAATTCCTACTAAAATAGCTCTAAAGATTGAATGCAACGCTTTTAAAACCAATGTAAAAATCTATAAACGACAAATCAAATAATACATCAAAAAGAAAAATCGAATAAAGACGGATATTTTTTTAATTTGTATTTTCGGTACCTTCCATTCTGATTTATTTGTACCAAATCATACTTGACTTAATTCTTTTTTTCATACTATTCGAAAGGCAGGGTCTCTGCCAATACAGACAAAACACATACTTATAGTGGGTCATGAGTGATGATTGACAGGGATTATTTCTAGTCTACACGTAGTTTTTCATTTCGGAAAATCCATCTCATTGTGCCAGCCTAAAAATTCCATGTATGACTTCTTGGACCAGACTATACTTTGACTTTCTGCGAAATACTACAGTATGACACTTTTAAGACTTTTCTTATGACAAAAGTTACCATTTCATGAACAGAGCCTTTTTTAAGTGATGAGTTCTGTTTTGGTGTCTGACCTCGAAAGAAAACTCAGGAATGTACTGTAGAGTCCAGATTGTTTTGAATCAGCAGTTCTCTAGCTACACTGTTCTTCGTCTGAATGCTGTTTGTGATGATCCCCCAGGTGGAATGGGATCTTTTCATGCCATGGTGAATTCCTCCGTCCACATCATCATGTATTTCTACTACGGCCTTGCTGCTGCTGGACCTCGCTTCCAGAAGTTTTTGTGGTGGAAGAAATACATGACCGCCATTCAGCTGGTACGTGCTGGTCTGCACTTTTCTGTGTTTGCTTCATCAGTAATGTTGCTTAATTTAACATTTACTCGTAGGCTTCTAGGATAAGGATGATGTAGCTTGAATAGATTTGTTTTAAGAATTGCTCAGTGTCTTCTCAATACCTGCCAAGTTAAAGTCTGCTCCAAAGTCAGCGAGACCAATGGCTCAACATTTTCCTAAAGTGAACGTTTGGCTGACTCCTGATTTCTTCCCATAGACCCAGTTTGTCCTGGTGTCTCTCCACGCTACCCAGTATTACTTCATGGACAGCTGTGACTACCAGTTCCCCATGATCCTCCACCTCATCTGGATGTACGGCACCTTCTTCTTCGTGCTCTTCTCCAACTTCTGGATCCAGGCTTACGTGAAGGGTAAGCGGTTGCCAAAACAAGACGTTAAGCAGAGCATGAACGGCACCGCTGTCCACGCCAACGGAAAACACGAGAACGGCATCAACGGCTCGAATCGGCAGGAGAACGGCAACAGTCACAAGATGAAGAAGGCCTAGGAGAAGGAAAGCCCTCCGAAGCATGGCCATGTTAACCTGTTAAACCTACTACGGACTCCAAAGATAGTTTGGCTGTTTCTTTTCCTGTGTTTAGTTTCATGTGCAACAAAAGGGGAAGTGACATGGTCAATGATTTCCACAGTTGGGGTCCAACATTTTGGGTGGTTTCTTTTTGTTTGATGTTTTATAGCCAAGAAATGGAATAAAATGTATGAAGAGAAGATGTTTTATCATCCAAATGTTATCTTCACTGATGTTGCAACAACCTCTTAGTTCAGGATCACACTGGTGGCCTCGCACCTCTCTTGCCTTCACCACTTTTCCTGACCCTCACATTGTCCTGACCCCCCCTGTGGACAGATGACTGTACAGTTTCTATCAGACTTGAAAATACTTTTTGTAAATAGTTTTACAGCACAAAAATCCAACTAATTGTATTGGTATGCTTTAGACTTTCTAAATGTTATATTGTGTATTTAAAATTTAAATGCCAATAAATACAATTTTAAATTATTTTGTACACATTGTTTTGTAATGATTGTCGTGGCTTCCTTCCTTGTTTATCTATCGAGCCACTAGACGCCTTAAACAGACATGTTTTAACTTGTTTTCTAACTTTTATATTTGTGTTACTTACAGTTTGAAGAGTTGCTTGGCCTCCGATGGTTTGGATGGTATTAAGCGATGTGTTTGCTCAAAAATAAAATAACTTTTACGTGTGCAACAAAGAAAAGATGCCTTTTACAATATTCCAAATAAATAAGCAAAAATAAAATAACAAATAACTTTGGTATTCTTTCTTCTTGACAAGGCTTATATAACTTAATAACTTAAAGGTGGCTTTTCTTATAAAATCAAAAATACTGGCTCTAACAATGATTATCTTGCAGAAAGCTACTTACTTACTCTGTGTAACTCGGTTGTCAGAGCGTTGGGGGAAGACTGACATTGTGTTGCAACAAAGAAGACAAGTATTTGTGTTATTTGCTTGGGCCTCTTGTCTCAGCCATCCCAATAATGCGAAGAGAGTGGGAGGTAAACAAGAGTCCCATTCTTCTTTAGAGAAAAGATGTATAGTAAGAGGCAGAGAGAAAGCATCACATCCAGATCTACACCAACACATCTCAACAGCTGGTTCATCAGGGTCAGAAGAAGTGCTGTCATGGAAATGCTTTCCCTATACTCAAATGGATGGCAGCTTAATAAACCACTTATCCACTACATATTTGTTTATAAAGTGGAACAAGCAGCTTTTTCTTTATCGCATCATTCCATATGCCTGCACCGTAAATCAACTTCAAAATTACATTATGAAACTGAGCTTGTGAGCAGGAATTGAATGCTCTCGCCTGCATTATATATTAAAAGGTGTTTCCAACATTTTCCCATTCATGTTTGAAAAAGAAGTGAGCTCAACATTACAAACCCCCCAAAGATAAGTTCAACACCACTGTACTGTAGACTTCCATAACACATGTATTAAAATATATACCTCTGATAGATTTGCTCAGAATTAAACAATATAATTGGATTGGACTGCACATGATTGGTCAACCTTTTAAAGTCACTATAGGTTTTTTTTTTGGTGTAAAACCTACACCGATAATTAGTTTGTGATGAAGGTGTTTGGATTAAATTAAGAAAATGAAGAGAAACTCCCTCTGGAGGGAACTTTGGGATGTTAGCCTTTGCAGACCATTGACATGCACAAAAACCTATATAACAGACTACATGAAAGAGAGAACCCCAACAGGCGTAAAAGGCCTTTTTGAATGAAGTATTAAGTAGCGTTAAATGGCAATATACAGTAAAGTATCTAAGGTTAATGTGTTGATGAGTGTGTCTTGAATGAACAGGCAGTAACTGGGTCATTGTTGCATGTTTAATTCCAGGCCAACATTACATTTCATGAGCAATCCATTAAAATACATCCAGTATGAAAACATTCTTTAGGCATTCATTCAGTGCATCAAATTGCTACAGATCTACTACTTATTGTTCTTCAAGTCATTCTCTTTATCTCTTTGCTTTAAGGTCGTGGGGCTGAATCCAGCGCCCACTTTAAAGGTATTTGAATTGTGAATGATATCAAGCTATGAGGTTGCTACTACTGTACAGTGTACAGTGATCTGATGGTCCATCATGCGTACCCTGATTGTCTGGGGTGAGATCAGAAAAGCACTAAGAGTCAGACCAATCCTCTCTACTCGTGAGTGGATGAGATGGATGCAGACCGTGGATGTGGTCTGGTTCGCCCTTTGAATGCTTTTTATTGCCCTGAACCGAAAGGCGGCACAGATGAGAACGTGCCGGAGACAGAGTTGTGGTCAGGTTTTAAAAAGATGAAACAGTGGTGGGTGTGTGAGGAGCTCTAAGTGATGTTCTCCAGGATGTAAAATATAAGCTCCATCACGAAGGGCTCGTCGCCTCTCTTGCGCCCCCTGCTCTGAATCACGGGGATCAGCACGCTGTCCAGGGCGTTCAGGTACCGGGCGGGGAGTGGCAGCCCGTTGCTCCCCGCCACAAAGCCCACCTGAAATGACAAAACAGACCTCTAATTAGTTTAAATATACACACACCCTGGAGCTTTTCTCTTATAAACTATACAACTCTGCAAAGTGTGAGTCATACTGTATGTAACATGCCCTCCCCACCAAAGTTAGACCAGTCTGAGTTTTACAAGGTTTCATAAACATTTGAGCAAGTGGACGATTACCTTAAAATCCCAAACTGATGTTGTTATGAAATTGTGAACAGATTACCATATTCTGTATCATAACTGGTGAAACAAATAACATGTCAATCTCAATGTTTTGTTTGTTTTGGCTTTATTTAACACATCTTTAGGCTAATTCTTATTTCACCTATGATACCAAAAACTAAATGTAGACACTTGACTGTCTGAAGATAGTCTTCACATCATTCGAGGCAGAAATGTTTAAACAAACAATGTGTTTTTCTAAGTTTAGCGATTTAATCATAATTTTGGTCAACTCAATTATACACCTGTTTTTCTCCGTCTCTACCCGCCTTACTAATATGTTTTACTTTGAAGTCAATAATATGAATTGATTAACAAAATAATACATTTAAATATGTCATTTTAAGCTAGCTTAACCTAACCAAGTGAAAGCCAGAGTACAGGTTCTGTGGCTTGATTTTAATGTAGTTTTTTCTGCAGATGTTTCATTTGTTTTAACAGAAATTGTAAATGTCTACACTATTATCATGGCAGACCACATGTCAAAAAGTCAGATTTATATCTTAACAAACTACATTCTTAACAAATATGTCTCTGCATTTTTGGATTTGTAGGGCAGTATTCACGATGCAACCTTATTATGTGAGGTTAGTAACAATAATCTCTGACACCAAACCTCTTTGCTGACCTCTTGAGATTCGAAGGCGACCCTCAGCCCCAGCTTGGCCATCCCGTCCTCTTTCAGCAGTTTGAGGTGAGGACACAGAGCCAGGCAGAAGGCCCGGGCGATCCGCTCCGTCAGCCGGTCGTGTTCAGCAGACTCACTCGCTCCTCTTTTGGGAAGATCCCCCCTCTGCAGGAAGAACACCTGCGCACATCATACACAGACATTTAAAGAAAGGCTGAGGCAGTTTCAGATGGACCTATGTTCATACTTTAAGCAGATCATTATGTACTTCTGTCCAGCGGATGATCTTTCCATTTTCTTTGTATTCTGACTTCTGGAACATCTTAGTACTGCTGATGGACTCCATGGACTTCCCATCAATGGGGCTAATGACACTGGAGGACACAAACACACATTACCTGTTATTAGCAACATTTAACAGACATTGAAATGCACTGGTATTTTTGCTTGGTTGTTCTAAAGGTATATTCATTTATACTCAGAGCAGAGGTGAAAGGAAGAACTTTTCTTAAAGTTGTAATACCACAAAGTAGAAATATTATGTTACAAGTTAAAGGATCCAAAGTCATGCATGCATTCAAAAGGCTTCTCAACTAACAGCATCAAAATATACTTAATTAATGAATTAATACATTTGCTAACTTAGTGTTGCAGCTGGTAAAGGAGGAGTTTTTTTTAATTATCTATGTCAGGAAGCCAATGAATTATTAAACCTATAATAATGGATTTGTCTAATAATAATAATCTGGATTTTTTTTTTAAGTAATTAAAGTGATCTAAAGTGTATAAAAGTAAGTTTAAAAATAAAAAGTAGATTATTTGCATCTAAATGGTGGTGGATTAGAAGTCTAAAGAAGCAGGACCCAGAAAAACTCACGTAAAGTATAAGTACAAGTACCTTAAACTCCTACTTAAGTGCAGTACTTGAGTAAATGTACTTAGTTACTGTCCACCACTGGTTAATTTACTGTTATATTCTTCTTATTAAGTGTAAAAGCCTCATTCTGCCCAATGAACATCAAACCCATGGGCACACACACACACTCACCCCTTATTCAAAGTGCATTTCTCCTCCACCCACTGCACACACACCAGCTCCTGGCTCTCTGATTGGTCGAGACGTCCGCAGGTGACGGTGTAGTCCTTCATCTCGCGCATCGCCCTGCGCAGCTCCGCCATGGTTTCCACGGTGATCTGCACCATCAGCCCATCTGTGGAGAGTGGACAGCGAAACAGGAGAAACAGACGCGCACACCACACACACATTCATACACTCACATGCAGCAACACGGACACACGCCTATACACACAGTCTGTTAAAATGTACACAGACACACACATGGAAACATCAACACATTCTGAATACAGCAGGTTTGAAGCAGGGGTGCTCACATGCACTACTTTTGAGAAATTAGAGTAAATAATGAATTCCCTGCCCGAACCTGACTCCCCTCTCGCGGACAGTTTACCTTCTACGATGCTGGACTTGGCGAGGTACCCTGCAGACGCCTTCAGAGCACTGCTGAATATAAAAAAGCAGGAGCCAGTAACTGCAATAAAAAGAAAGAGTTTAGAGACAAACTGTACAGCTACAATCCTGGACATTAGTTTTGATATCAATGACAAGAAAAACAATTATCATGAAGTGCCATCTTGTGTTCCTTTCGGGAACTTAATTTAGTTTGGTGGACCAAAATCCCACATATAACTCAAAGCTACCTCTTTTAATATCTGCACAGCTCTCCACTTTACACCCCAAGGCCATATTTGTGTCTATACATATATATATATATATATATATATATATATATATATATATGTCGCTTACTGTGTTTTCGTACGCACCATATGCTCCAATATGTGTGTACTTTGCATTAAACCTGATTCTGACTTATTTTACTCTTTGCAAACTTGATGTTTGCAATTGTTTGTTGTTGCATAGTGTCTTTGATCTTTGTCTATGCTGCAGCAGAATTGCCCTGCGGGGAATATAAACCTCTTTTTATTATAGGTGGATTTTGTCCAACAAATTCACAATCTACTATTTTAAAAGGCTTAAAACTAGTGGATAGCACCAAATAGTCAGTGGAGTTGAGTCTCTCTGAATAAAGCCTTCGTACGGAT